TGGAATAGGCAGTGAGATGAAATCTCCTCAGTGAGGCTTCAAAAAGCAATAGAAACACAAGAAAGGTTCTAACCCTCCTCTTTTTTTTTATCAAAAACTAACAGGGTTTTTCACAAAAGAGTGAAGAGTTTGGAGCAGCCAGGAGAAGTGAACAATCTAGGACAACATAGCTGATTTGGAAAAATTCTTCAATTCAGCTCACTTTCCAGTTCAGCTATGTTGTCCTAGATTGTTTACTGGGGTGGTTTGGGAAGGAGGGGTTACATACAAATATTTTGCTATGGGGCACTGTGATTTCTAGTTACGTCCCTGGATCCCCCTCTGTGCATTAACCTGCCTGGCGGTCTGATTATCTCAGTATTTTTTCTCTCTTTTTTTTTTTAATTCTTTTTATTCCTTTTGCATTAGTTATACATACAAACATGACACCAACATAGTGCCTTAATATCAACACGTTATACAGTGCGGCATAACATATGCCAAATCTTACATAATACGCCATAAAACAAGCCCCAGTCAGACTCCCCACCCCATAGATACATATAGGACTCCTACCACACTATAACATATCCACTCTCCAAAAACTCCCATCAAAATGAATATCTTACATCTTATGTCTTGTAAACTTGTGACATTTTCCCATCAAATGAGCTGAGGGTAAAATTTCAAACATAAGGAAGGTGAACTCCACACTCTCTCTGCCCCCCTGCCTGGCTGTCTCTCCCAAGGGTTTTAGGATGTAGAAGAAGAACCGTCATGCCCCTGTGAGGGTATCATCGTGACAGATGGCTTTCCCTAGAGTGGTTGGCTATACCCCCACCAGAACACTGGACTATCCACCCCGACCATACTTTGTCGAACTTTATAGGGCACCCTCTGCAAGCGTATGTAGCTTTATGTAATGGCAGGGAGGCGTTGACTAACGTTTTCCACGCTCCCAGGGTAGCCGATTCCACCTTCCTCCAATTGAGGACGAGGAGTTTTCTGGCATAGAACAACAGGTAAATCAACAGAGTACGTGACGCCACTGAGGGAACAAGGTCATCTATGAGGCCCAATATACAAATTCTGCTAGTCATTGGAATTTGAGTTTTTAGGATATTTGCCACCACCCCAGTCACCCCCTTCCAGTATTCCTGAATTTTTGGACAACTCCATAAGACGTGAATGAGGTCTGCCGGTTCGTATTTTTCTTCTTCTATTTTTTACTTTCGAATTTCACGCCGGTTCCGCCCCCCTGCGACGCGGGCGCTCGCAAGGGAAGTAACCCGGAAGACGGATGCCGGCATCGGCTGGAGGACACAGCAGGGCTCCTAGGGACAAGGTAAGACGGTACAGTGTAATCCCAAGTGTGGCTCGGGGGTTACCGCTTTTGTTACTGAAAATGAACCCCGAGCCACACTCGGGATTACCGCCAGGAAGGTTAAGAAGTATTTCCTTACCTGTCTTAGCAGTGTAGATTTATTGCTCTCTGAACTTCTGCTACATACCCTGCATGCCTAATGCAGTCACAAATCCGAGAGTTTCACCTCTGTTAACACTTTATAGGAGGGCTGAGGTTTGTGGTTCTACAAAAAACTATTAAAAAGCTATAGTTTAACCGCCACCCGGCTAGCAGTTGTAGAAATACGACCGGCCGGGAGCTCCTAGCTCTGAGCGGGCGTATTTAAACGTCCCATCAGCCATTCCCACTCACGCGCAGGAAAGTGCCAAAATTTAAAACAGGCAGTGATGCCTGTTTACATACAAGTGATCCGCTGGCTATAGAGCCAGCAGATCGCTTGTATAAGGTGCCAGTCCATGCGACCCCTCCTCCCGCTGGTCCCGGGCTCTGCTGTGCCCGGTGCGAGCCCGGGACCAGCATGGTGGCTCTCTGAAATGGGATTAGAGGGAGATCGGTACACGATCTCCCTCCCGTCCCCTCTCCGCTGTCAGAATGCGGAAGTGATGTATATTACATCACTTCCACATTCTTGTGTCACTCTCCAGCTTCAGATGCTAGAGAGAAGCTGATGAAGCAGATGCTTTGGGGGTCCCTAGGTGACATTAGGGGTCTTGGAAACCCCTGATGTCTCCATAAAGAGGACCTGTCACATCTCTTTGCTATCACATAGCAATCACAAGTCCCTACCCATACATACAAGCGTGCAAACATGCGTCAGGTGCGTATACGTGCAAAAACAACGATTGCGCCCATTACGCCGCACATGTTACATATCGCAGCAAACGTCACAGTGAGAACAATCATTTTAGGGCCATAAATCACTGATAACACTAAACTGATGAGCGGTAAAAGCTTTTAAAGCTTCGCCTATGGTCAATTTGGGTATGGTAGTTTTTTTTGCGATTTTGCGAGTGGGCGCAATTTTAAAGCTTGACATGTTTGGTGTCTATTTGCGCGATGTGACCCCATCTTTTATATTTTACCAAAAAATTGGGTAATAATTGTATTATAACAAAATGTAAAAAAAGTCAGTAATTTTTCCTTAATATAGTAAAAAATAAAAACCCCAGCAGTGATTAAATACCACCAAAAGAAAGCTCTATCTGTCCCTAAAAAATGGTATAAACCTAATTTCAGTACAGCTACAGTACAACAGTACATGATGGAATAAATGTCAGTGAAAGTACCACAGCGCTGAATACTGTAAAATGGCATGGCCAGGAAGGGGGTGTAAACACCTGGTCAGCAAGTGGTTAAAGAAGTATTAGGGTGGAAGTGTGTGCAAGATTGTCAATCATTTTATCCTAATACAAATATAATTATGGTTATCATTATTATTAGTGCCTAGTGTGATGGATCCCGGTACTCAGGATGAGTATATCCGCCTCTGTAGTGTTCCTTGCTCAGGAGATATTGCACCCCAATGATCTTTAGCACGCAGTCACTAGCCGGAACCAAGTGTAGGGTGAAGCAAACTCTCATTTATTGAGCAACTGTGCAAAACGTTTATACACAAGGTGATCAAATAAGATTATAATCCCATCACATCCACCCAGCCCTCCCCAGACAATCTGACTGCACAACCCCGCAGTGTTCCAGCTGCTAAAGAGCTTCAGACAGCCATAGCAGGAGTCTGGCCAGACGCAGGAGAATGTCATTGTCCTGAGCTCCTTGGAGTACAAAGGGAGCCAACGGGGGGTGCTGACAGTTTTTTGATAAACAGGTTACACAGTATAACATAATTAAACATATTCCAGCAATAACACAGACACATAACCCATAAACTGATTGAGCATGTCGTCACACCTAGTATTACCTTTACCTCGCACTGCTTCCTAGTAGAGTACTGACTATGCTGACAGCTCTCCTGCTGCTGTCCTTGATACATGCTTCAGGTTAAGATCAATAACACATATTGTCACAACGGACATTGCCAGCCACTACAGAGAGAGTTAGCAGGGGGCCCAAAGTTTTGCTATGGGGCCCCATGATTTGTAGTTATGCCCCTGATACTTGCGCTCATTTATAAGAATTGTGCCTCACACAGCTGTATTGCAGAACTGTCAACATCTCGATCAGCTTTTTCCAATAAAGAGGATTAAAAAACAAAACACATTCTGATTCCTTTCCCTGCTTCTTTATGGTAGACAGTTCTGAGAAACCCAGAGAACATAAGGAACAGATGGAATAAACAAACACAGAAATCTCTGCTGAGGACTACTGCAGCCAAAAATAAACAGTCTATCATTCATAATAAATACACAACTGCCATGTCTATTTCTAGAACCCACAACAGACTGTGCAACAGAAATACACCAAACAGGAAAATTGCATGAGCCATCCATTCACCTTTATTAGTTTGGAAGGAGCCCAGGTAGCAGCAGACTTTGAACACCTGTTCATTAATGTATACCTAGATTAACAGCACTTGTTTCCTCATATACATCTTTGCTTTCTGTGTACATGGTGTTCCTCAAACAGATGCTATAGTTTGGCAAACCCTTTCTGGATATAAGTAACTAACATCCATTACAATTAGGGCCGTTCACACTAGCCTGTCTGTTAAAATGTTACGTTTTGGTGGATGGGCTAGAGCATTGTGGCAGCAGGCAATGTTTTGCCACTCGTCCGATCGCACTGCAGGCAGGGGGTACAGCTGAGGTGCCATTGATTTCAATGTACGTCCACGCCCCCTCCTGCCGCAGAACAAAGGGAGAATTTTGTTGAGCGATTGCTGTGCGTTCCAGCAGCTGCTGCTCTGGAACACACCGCAATTGGTGTGAGAGGGCCCTTGCGCTTTCCAGATTACTTTTTCCTGCATTTACATGCATTTAGCACAGATTTCTATTTTCTCCAAACGCAGTTAAACTGAATGCAGGTCAACACAGCCTCTGAGTGATACCATTGAAAATCAATGACATGCATTTATTAGAAATAAAATGTGCGTGCATTTACAGTGCGTGCAACATGCATTTATTTCCAAATGTTCTCTAACCACATATAAACACTGGCTTAAGCCTAAGGTCCGTTTTACATGGGTGGCGTACGCACATGAACAGATCCGCTGCTAAACTTGAACAGAATGGAACTGATGTCACTTTGTGACATCTGTGTCCTTACAGTTTTTGCCTCCTTTATGTCATGAAGGAAAAACAGAACTTAAAGGACTCATGTTAGGTATATACATCCATTTTCATCCTTTTACCTCCGATCTGTCGCGTTTAGGTCCACAAAACTCTTGTCTGTTTTTTTTCAGACCTAAACGGACTCAGAGGTAATTGGATGTAAATGGATGGAGGTATGTTTACATCTGCTGGCCTATTGCATTGTGCTTCCAATCAGATCCTTCTGAAAAACTGACAGGTGAGTCTGATTGGAACAAACTTGTGAAAGGGGCCTTAATCTCAGCAAAGTCGGTCATGGAAGAGTAACTAACAAACAAAACTTTTGTATGTATTCATGTGCATGCATGTATGTTATACAAACAGAAAGCACAAGAAGTACGCATTTACAATATACGGAATCATATCAAGTGCTCTGTTTCTTTAAGGTGTGCATTTCCACATATAAATTTGGACCAGACGGCTTGCAGGCTATCCTCTGGGATAACAAGATGGCTGCAGCTGAAGGAGTGAGTACTTGTGGCTTGTGAGTGTGGTTATAGTCTGTATGACTGCAATGATCTCAAAAGTAACTAAAAAAAATAGCAAAGTTTTATTGTGTGAATTAACAGGTTTCTCATGACTTTTTTTCTGTATGACTGTGGGCCCTAAAGCCAAATTTGTTTTAAAGCTAACCCCCCCTCTCTTTTTTTTTTTGCTTTAATCTATCTATATCATAATGAAAACAAAAGTTAAAGTAATAGAAATGTGCAGCTTTAAGCTGTGCTCATGCTTTTGTCTTAAAGTGGTTTCATGTTTTGATGTGTTGTGGGTTTTTCACATTTTATTTTGCTGGGGCAGGGGGCT